GTCTGTGTAATTGAAGGCTCAGTGTCATTGAAGGCTCTCTGTAATTGAAGGTTCAGTGTAATTGAAGACTCAGTGTAATTGAAGGCTAAGTGTAATTGAAGGCTCAGTGTAATGAAGGCTCTTTTGTAATTGAAGGCTCAGTGTAATTGAAGGTTCAGTGTAATTGAAGGCTCAGTGTAATTGAAGACTCAGTGTAATTGAAGGCTCAGTGTAATTGAAGGCTCAGTGTAATTGAAGGCTCAGTTTAATTGAAGGCTCAGTGTAATTGAAGGCCCAGTGTAACTGAATACTCAGTGTCATTGAAGGCTCAGTGTCAATGAAGGCTCTCTGTAATTGAAGACTCAGTGTCATTGAAGGCTCAGTGTCATTGAAGGCTCTCTGTAATTGAAGGTTCAGTGTAATTGAAGCCTCTGTGTAATTGAAGGTTCAGTGTAATTGAAGACAGTGTAATTGAAGGTTCAGTGACATTAAAGGCTCAGTGTCATTGAAGACTCAGTGTAATTGAGGACTCAGTGTAATTTAAGGCTCAGTGTAATTGACAACTCTGTGTAATTGAAGACTCTGTGTAATTTAAGGCTCAGTGTAATTGAAGACTCAGTGTAATTGAAGGCTCTGTGCTACTAAAGGCTCAGTTTTGTTGATGGCTCTATGTCATTAAAGGCTCCATGTTATTGCTCTGTATTATTGAAAAGCTGTGCTCTAAATCCCAGTGTCTGTGCTGTTTTTTTTACAGGTGGCCCGTAAGCTGGTGATTGTAGAAGGAGAGTTGGAGCGTACAGAGGAAAGGGCAGAACTGGCTGAGGCGTGAGTATTTAGTGTTCTGAATGTGGTCAAATTAAACTGACAAAACTCAGAGATAATTACTCACACCACATCTCAATGTTATTTTTCTCTTCTTGGCATTTTTAAGTTATTTACATCTGTAGGCACAACTTCTCACTATATCTACTCTGGTTGGATACATAAAAAAAGTTTAATGAGTTCTGAAGGGATAGTTTGGTGATTTTAAAATTATGTTCTCTTAAATAATAATGAATAGTTTTTACGTTAAGTCATCAGTCTTAGAGCACAGAGGATAATGAAAAATCTTCCACCAGCCTCAGCTCCTTTAAATCACTGGTCAGGTCTTCAAAACAGCTCAAAAATATCATACTGGTGTGAAATAATGCCATTTATTTAAATTTTAATTTAGGCTGAGAAAATGGCAACAAACTAACCAAATACTGCGTGCAAAAGTTTAAAGCTTTAATATTAGTTCAGATTTTCACACCAGTTTGACATTTTTGCCAAGCTGCTGAATAAACGTGAAAAGTTCAATAAAAGGAGTCTGGTTTGGTTAGCCTTCAAGGAAGATGGCTATGTTCACCCTGCAGGTAAAAATGACCCAAGTCTGAATTTTTATTTTTATGACAATCCAAATGTGACAAATCCAGATTTTCTAATCTGATCCTGGTCTGTTTTTTATATTTGGTCCTAAAATCATATCCAAATCAGACATATTTCAGAGTGACCTCAGTCTGAACGCTCATGCCTCATTTGATCTGACCTCATTGAGGTAGGAAGATATGAATTGATCCAAGTATTGACGATATTGATACCAGCTGGTTAAAGTTTGGACCTTGAGTTTATTTTACATGTCGCTCCAGAAGTGCAATATTGCTGCAGAGAAAATGGACCAAACAATCTGTCTGAAAATAGTTTCACTGGTTCTGAGTGCACAACTTCAGAAGCAGTCCACTCATGCTAACATGTGTAGCCTCCATGTGTCCTTCTGTAAACACAGCGTGCTGCGTGTGATGTCACATCTTTAGAAGCGTGGACTGTTCACCCTGGAGTCTGAAGGAGGTCACATTTGAATTAGAATCAAGAAGCCATCCATGACAACTAAGACAAAAACTGTTCAGAAAGTCTGAAGAAGTCCTTCGGATGAAGGAGAAACATCTCAGCAACAACAACAAACAAAAAAAGAAACTGTCCAGATGACCTAGACTGAACGTTGTTGGATTTGTACCTGGATTACTGAGAATGAACTTTTGGTAACTGTTTAGAAACTTTACCCACAAATCCTCCCTTCAGAATGACTGGAGTACAAACAGAAAATGTCAGTAGTCATAAATTTTTGTTGCATTTACCAGTAAGATGCTTATATAACTCTTTCTGCCATTGGGTCAAAATGAACCCTGAATCGTTTGGGGTCCCTTTTGAAACTGAGGCCTCAGGAGTTGTTTTGACCCAAGGACGACAGGAGGGTTCAGAGTTGAGCTGTTGGACCCAGTTACTTCTTCCAACTTTATGCCGGCCTCTTGAAGTTTGCACATTAGCCATCTGAACTAAACTTATTTATCTCTTCTGTTTGTCACATTTTCTTTCCTTAAAATCATAAAAAGTAAATGTGCTGAGCTGGAGGAAGAGCTGAAGAATGTCACAAACAACCTGAAATCCTTGGAGGCTCGGGCTGAGAAGGTAGGACGAGACTAAAACTTGTTTGACTGTCTAAAGCAGAGATATTCAACTGACGGTCCCGAGGCCAATTCAGGCCCATGGGTGAGCTCAGTTCGGCCAACCAATGGGTTCATTTGGAAATAAAACTAGATTTTAAATCATAAAACAGCCTTACTGTTGGATGTCCAGACACTGAGCTCTCAGCTTTTAGTAACTGTGGCCTCCTGAGCAGTTTAGTTGAATAGCCCTGGTGTAAAGAGACGAACCGACATCTTGACGGAGTCGGTGTGGGACGTAGAGCTGGTTATGAGTAACTGTCCTTTCACCCCAGTACTCTCAAAAGGAGGACAAGTATGAGGAAGAAATCAAGATTCTAACTGACAAACTAAAAGAGGTGAGCGTGAAGTCTCAGCAGCCTTTTAAAACAAATGAAATGGTCATCCATTGTTGGAACTGAGATGTTTTAAGCTCTTTTTTGTATTTTCTTTTGTTTCTGTCTCAGGCTGAGACCAGAGCTGAGTTTGCTGAAAGATCTGTGGCCAAGCTGGAGAAGACCATTGACGACCTGGAGGGTAAAGGACTCTTTCATTTCATCATTTGTCTAGAGAAAGATCATAAATCACACCACCGGAGACATTTTCTGGATTCTTACTGAATTCTTCTTCTTCTTTTGGCTTTCCCCTTTATTAAGAAGCACAAAATAATCCAAAGCTCTAAAAACAAACTTTTATTTTGTCTGTATTTGGACTGTGCAGAAACTAAAAGTTGTAAATAAATGAAGCTGCAAAATCATTTAAAATGTCTAAGAAAGTAGAGTTTAGTGATTTAGTGAGATAAAGAGTGACTTGGAGTGATTTAAAGTAGCTTAAGGTGATTTATAGTTATTTTGTTTGATGAAGATTGATTTAGAATGATTAAATGAAATATTAAATGAAATATTAAATTAAATGCTGGTGCCATTTTGACATGACTGTCTCAGAGGAGTTGAGGAGGGTGAAGGTGGACCCCGGAGGAGAGGGCGGGCCCCAGAGGCCATCTTAGCACCAGCAAACTGTTTTGTTCCACTATGCTGTTAGTGGGAATCAGCTTTGTTTGGTGGCTTCTCAGATTGAGGAAGTCCTTTGGATGAAGGATGAAACGTCTCAGCAAAGAAAGAAACCATCCGGATGACCTGACTGAACATTGTTGGATTTTACACCTGGATTATTGAGCATGAACTTTGGTGAAGTAAAAGCGGCTTTTCTGATTTCCATTTTGGATGAGAAAGACTGAGGGACAGTGATTCAAAAGAATCATAACTAATAACTGATTTGGCATTAATCAATAATCCTGACTGAAAAACAGAAGCTACTCCTCCACCTCGGCCATTTGTTCTAGGAACATGAAAATTTAAATAATTAACAGGAGTGGATTCATTTATACTAACAAAATCCTCCTGTTGTAGCCAAGTTTCTGTCAGACAGAATAAATCAATATGATGATCAGTTATCAGTTCATTAACTAACAGGGATTTAGAGGAAAGAGATCTGATGTTCAATAATCCACATTTAATGATTGTATGATTTTGTTCTAGTAAAGTAAATGAGTTTATTTTAATAATTTTTTTATTATTTATATTTTTAGAGCTGATTGATCTAGTGTGATTTAGTGTGACTTGAGCTCTGTGTTACTGAAACCTTTGATTTAGAGAGATTTAAGTGATAAAAGGTTATTCAATTTCACTTTTAAAAATGTGATTTAGAGTGAATTACAATGATGTGTGCATATTTGAACATATATTGGAGGGATGCCTGAAGCTTTCTTTGTTTTTACAGTGAGCTGCAGTAGAATTCCCTCCCTTAAGCATCTTATTTTTATTCGTCATATTGCCTAACAGCACATTTTAAAATGTGTTGTTTATTTTACTAACGGCCATTTTAGAGACAAAGAACAAGTTCTGAAACAACTGAGAAGTTACTTCAACTGTGTGTTTCAGGTCGTTGTCCAACAAAAAAGCATTTATTTTTTACTCAATCTATCTTCCTCCAACTTTGATCAGTTTCTCAGTCCCTGCTGATGAAAAATGTATCCACATTATGATGCTGCCACCACCATGCTTCACTGAGGGGATGTTCTTCTCAGCATGATGAGAGACGGCAGGTTTGCAGCAGACACAGTTTGACCACAGCAACTTCTTCCTTGGTTTTCAGGAGTCTCCATAAGGCTGGTTGGACAATTCCAAACTTTAGTTTTGTGTTTTGTTTTTTAAAACAAGTATTTCTGCTGACACTCTTCTATAAAGTTCAGCTCTGTGCATGAACAGATCCTCCCCTCTCTGTAGAAGTGCTGCCCAGCACCATCAAGGTTCTCTTAAGCTAACGTCCTTCCCACCGCTCTGCACGTTTTGGTGGACGACTCTCACTTGGCAGGTTTCCTGAGGGTATCTTTATTTTCCAATGAAGGATTTACTGGAGCTCTGTGGAAAGTTCAGAATTTGGAATATTTGTATAAACCAACCCTGATCAACTCCACATCTTTGTGTGGAGAGTTCCTTGGTCTTCATGATGTCCCTTGCTCGGTGTTAAGTCTTCCCTACTTAAATGCACTGTACTGGTGTGAATTTTGTAACCCACAAAACTGAAAATCTTCAAATATAGGTTCATATTCAAATATGAATAAGATACAAAGTTATTGTCTGGCTCTTCATTGGTTGGTTTTTTTTGTTTTTTTCCATTTTGAATCTTTGTTCACTTTTATGTTTATGTTCATTTTTTCTGTGTGTCCAGATGAGCTTTATGCTCAGAAGCTGAAGTACAAAGCTATCAGTGAAGAACTGGACCACGCTCTCAACGACATGACCTCCATGTGAGTAGAGACGTGTAAACAGGACCGTCTAACATGCTGTTCTGGAGATGTCTCAGGTTTGACATCACAGGGGTCAAAGACCTGCTCAGGAGTCCTGGTTGTCCGTCACTCAGTCCTGAGAGCCATGACAGAATCTGTGGTCCCATGAATTTATGAGCATTTCTGTTCAAATTAAAAAATAATGCAAAATGTAACCAGTGCAGTGAAAATACTTCAGTATGAGTGTTTGCATGGAGTATTAGAACAATCTGAGGAGACCAGATGTTGGAGGTTTTGGAGGACCTGAGGAGATCAGTTGTTGGAGGTTTTGGAGGACCTGAGGAGATCAGTTGTTGGAGGTTTTGAAGGACCTGAGGAGATCAGTTGTTGGAGGTTTTGGAATATCTGAGGAGACCAGATGTTGGAGGTTTTGGAAGATCTGAGGAGACCAGTTGTTGGAGGTTTT